ATACTCTGCACAAATGGACAATTGTTACTAATTCGCCCCATTGAACGTTATCACTGTCATGCCGAAAATAAAAAAAAACACATTTGAATAACATGCCTCACATTCTAAAGTACGCCATTGAGAATGAAAACTTTATCCTAGCCATATCGGGCATATTCTATGATGGTGTGTTGATATCTGTATGCCACTAAGTACGGTATTAAGTGACGCCATATAAACGTGACGCGAGTATCAATTACAGGTGCGCCATTCGAAGAACACAGACATGAGCTAAAAGCATAATATTATCAGCCGAGTTTTCTCTGAGGTAACTCGTCAGTTCTCCCAAATTAAGTCAATGAACAGAGTGTGCTGGCACTTCGTTTCTATCACGTTCGTATTCTCAATTCATGTGTATTTGCTATTCAAAACAAATAATCATGATTCGAATCACTTTTCAATTAGTCGCTGTCCATTACGCGACCCATTACGTCACATTAAATAATTATAATGATCGCTGTAGTGTCGGACCGAATACCATGACTCAATCAGGAATACGTGGCTGTACGTATTCGAGATAAAAAAAATACCTTAGCAAATTACTATGTTTATATAGTCTTTACAGTTCTAGCAACCCATTTCAAGTTACCAGGGGCAAAGAGATTATGATCGGAAAGGAAACCGCGAAAGCGAACGACGTCCGACTCTATTGAATTGAAACCTTTCAGTGTCGGTGATAGACTGTCAGTCATGCTTTTGTAGTGCACTTTTAGTGCAGCGTTCTTCATAGCTAATTATTGAACAGGTCGAAACTATTCCTGTAATTGCTCAACCATGGAAGGAATGCACGACTGCGGTCATAAAAGACATTTTGGAGTACGATCTGAAATTCAATTAAAGCGCGAGGGTCGTCACCTGCGCACGCGCGGGAATTCAGTCCCAAGCGACGATAACAACATACGCTAAAAACGCAAAAGCTCATGGTTATATGCTTGTTTGTAAACAATGACACCCTATGGCCATCTGACGCATGCGCAGGTGACGACTCCCCCGGTTTAAAGTTGTTGAACTAATCATTCTCACCTTGCATTTCCAATTGCCATAAGTCAACTGTTGTCACCTTTCAGAAATAAAAATCGTAATAATTTTTCCATTTTTTATTTCAACAGTTTTGATCAGGACTTGTAGGAAATATAAAAATTGTGACCATTGGGTTCAAAAATGAAATAGAAAACATAGGAGATTCGTAACAACGTGTAAAATGTTGCGTCAACATTTTGGCGGGAATAATGATAGCATTGGACGCGTTACAGAGTGAAGTGAATTTGAAGACGAGTGATACAATTAGATTTGGTTTTTGCATATAGTCCATATTACATATCCTAGATTGAAATCTACAACCCCTTACCACTTTTATTTTTCTTATTCATTGTGGTTGAAAAAAAAATCATATCAATGAAAACAAGGAAGTTTATTTCAAGTTGTTATCCTCCACAGGCAGACTCAATTTCGTCTCAATCAAACGTGAAACACTGGTTATGTATTGGCACAAGGTTTTTTACATTTTTGTTATTCTCATGAATTAATCAATCCTTCATATATACGGTATAAAAATGAAATATGTTTATTAATATATAAGCAAATTTGCAATACTAGTGTCTCAAAATCACATGCAAGAAAGGCTGCAAATACGTATACGTACGAAATGAAATA